CTGACAAAAAAACGGAACTTTTTAATGTCCTCGGAAGATTTATAGATTTCCCTCCGGGAGAGCTACCTCAACAAGAGGCCGATCCTGGGAAAACCAGGAACAGGTGGCAACAGCTACCACACACTGAGGCTTCACAAAGTCAAACGTGGAGCAACTCCCACAATGCACCCGCCACATGCCTCGGTGAGGTCGGGGGTCACGGGGTTATCGGCACGTGCTTCAAAGTGACAAAGGCGCCATCACAGCTGTGACGTCATTATCGAGCACTTCGGAAATGTGCCCGAAAATCACGTGGGGGGGGGGGGGGGGGTATGCGACTTTAAATTATCTCTTTAGTTTAGCTTCACATTTGGGAGACAACCCGGTACACAGCTTACGCACTCACAAGGCCGATTGGGTTTGCACGTCTATACTGGCTCTTGTATCGTCCAGACATCGACTGTCACACCCAAAAGCAAGCAACAACTATTCAAGTCAATGGCAGATTGGAGGTACAGATCATTTCCAATCCGCCCGGAACTTCCAACGATCTAAGCTCGGTACATTGGGCTCACGCGGCGGCCACAAAACACAACGCGTGCTACGTTTCTGTTGTGATTCTGTGGCCCACACCTGTGTGGGGATTGGGAGGAGGTTAGCCGGTTTGTTGGCGATGTTGCACGCACACACAGGACGGTTGCTTGGGCCCAGGATCATTGCTTGGGCGGTGTGGCTGACTCCCGAGGGAGTGAGGTAATTGGGAAACAGCTGGACTTAATTATGGAATAATTAATTAAGGGAGAGTTATCAGCCTGTATAAGGGGGCGGAGCCAGTGATGAGAAATTATCTTGGGGGATAGGTGAGCTGGTGCCTTGGGCACGGCTGGGTAGCTCTCAGCTATATTTTAAGCAGTTTTTTGCGGATAACTTTCACATTATTTTAAATAAACACCCGATGGATAACGAACCTGCTGTGGCCACGAATAACTCAAAGCATGCCAGACCTCAGACCCCTCCCAATTGCCTGGGAAAATCCCTGGGTTTACCGTGGACACGTGGACCGACAGTCCCAAAAAGAGACCCACGCGTACATGAGGGCCACTGACCTCGTCACTACCAAATCTCAGTGGCAGAGTGCGCTGCGTCGCACGTGACCAGATTTTGGAATGTGGCGCCGCATTCAAACGTAGAGCAGCAGGTCGCCGGTTGCAGTCGTGTAACTCTTAATGTAAACATTCATAGTTTTTATTTAGGACACGCTCATCGTGCTAATCACGGATGGAGGAGGCGAAGTCGGAAATCTTGATGGATGCGTGCGATTCGCTACAAGAGGCGGTGGTACGGCTGGAGTACATGAATGACTTGGACCAACAGCTGAACCAGAGGAGAACAAAGCTAGGTTAGGGGCTGCAGCACACCTTTGATGAGCACAATGCCCTACACCAGCCGAGTTTCACAATGCTTCGCTTCAGAAGCAGCATCTGGAGAAGGAGGTGCAAGAGCTCAAACAGGCGTTGCACACGCCCAACGACAATGTCGAAAGCCAGCAGCATCCGACATGCAAAAAAATTGAGTGCTTGCTGACAGGCCGACTTTCCTGTTCTAGCTACTCGAGTTCCACAAATCCGCTGTGCCACGATCTTCCTATGGAAACGCCGACCCCGACCCGACCGTGACCATCATTTATTGCAAATGTTTTGCGCGTGGCTGCGCTGCGGATCTGGTCGGTTCTTCTTCCGGCCCGTACATCCGCACGATCACGGAAGATGCCGGTTGGCACTCGGGCTCGGGCGAAAACATGTGTGGGAGGGATCGTGCGTGGCGGTCGCGAGACTCCAGGATTCAGTTTTCTACTCGCCTCAACAGCCTCGGCACCAAACTCGACCAGAATATGGTGCCGTTTGATCACCACGTGGACAATATAGTCAGGTCCTGCAAATTTCATATCAGGACTCTACGACAGATTCGACCACTACTATGCTACGCACCAACACGGTGGAGTGTAGTATAGTATCGTATCATATCGACAAGGCTCGATTATTGCAACTCACTGCTCTATGGGATGTCTGCCAAAAACATTGCCAAGCTGCAGCGTGTACAAAACTCTTTGGCATGTGTCGTCATGGGGTACTGCAAGATCCAAACATGTCCATCCAGTGCTTGCTGAGCTGCATTGGCTTCCGGTTGCCCAACAAATTTATTATGAGATCGAACTCCTTAAACAAAGTGCTTGCCACAAATGAACCACAATACCTTGTTGATCTCGTCAAGGAGCATAAACCATCACGCGAACTCCGGTCATCCTTACAGGGGCTTTTGGCTGGTCATCGGACAAAGACAGTCACCGCATTGCGTGCTTTCAGATGCGCTTCTGAGGCTATCTGGAATGCTCTTCCTTCCCATGTTAGGAAGCCACTGGAGCTATACGCTTTTAAATCTAGATTGAAAACTCATTTCTTAAGAATGGCTTTTTGTGTTTAGTTTGTTGTCCTTTCCCCGCACCTCTGATTAGCATGGTTGGCTACGTACAGTGCAAAAGAAGTTCAACTTACATACATACATACACCCCCTTTACTTCCCCACCCCATCCTTCTCCCTACCCACTGAGGCCTAGTGACCAACCCACAGAGGGGTGCGCCTTTGCTGGGGCAGGAGTCTAGGCGAGGCCGGTGTAGTAGCGGCTCTAATGTGTGCAAATTTTATATTAGAAAAACGTTGTTGCACATCGGGTTATCCACGGAATGGTGGGCAAAGTTAGGCAACGATTTTTTTTGTTCCTCATGCAGTACTTTGCCGCAATATTATCGAGCTACCACAGCAGTGGGATCTTGCGAAAGGAAGCTATGGAGAAAGGCGGTGGCATATATGGCGCAGACCGTAACGGCCTCTTGACCATGGCCTAGCGATTGACACGTGGATGCTTTCAAGTCATGGTGACCTCCTTCGCTGGTCACAACTTTGTGGAGGTCGACCTGCATGAAAAGGCCGCTTCCCCTAAGTGCAGCGCCAAGCAAATAAGATGGCATCACTGGGCCTACTTAAACATTTTTTATGGGAACTTAGAGACGTTGGTATTGCCTGAGAAGGGTCAGGGTCAGGGTCAGGCAAGATTAAAATGACAGTTTTGAATAAAAAGGCATTCTAGAGAGCAACTGGCCAGTGGCGTTGATTGGCGGGATGCAATAATGTACCGAGCCCAGATCGCAGTTGGCCGGGGTGGTTTGGAGTGTTATAAAAAGGACAAAACATAACTGAAACAGCAATAACCTAAGAAAGTTAATAAGTTAGTTTGACAACAAAATATTACACTGGATAATCAAACTTATTATTTTTACAGTTATGAACAATAAAGTTAGTGTCTTCTTCTTCTAATATACATTACACCAATTTTCAAGAGAACATTTTTTTTACTGTAAAGTCAACAAAATAAACCTAACAAAATTATTTTCAAACAAGACCAAGTAAAGTACGGTAATAAGGACACGAAAAAATACGTATTAGCATGCGGCAAGCTGTAGTGCTGTCTCCCCCCCCCTCCCCACGTCTTGTCATTTGCATCTGCACTGTTAATGCAAATCTTATAATTCCCATCGACTACCAGTGGTTCACAAAAAAATGTACGGACTTTTTTTTTTGGGAGTGGGGGGTGGTGGCGACGGGGGGGGGGGGGGTAACGAAGTTCTGCATCATTGTTACATTTTTCTCCAAAAAAACGGACATCATCTGCTTTCAGATCAAATTGTTGTCCGCATAAAATCACGTACAAATTGATGTTACGCTACCGTTAATAAAAACATCACAAAAATACTTTCACTCCCCCGTAAGAAACCTTGCGTTTCCCTCCCCTCCCTATGCCCTAACGCCTACCCCCTACAATAAGTCATTTGGACCAAGCCATCTGACCACACTCACATAGAAATGTTTGGACTATGAAGCAAATGAGCGGTTATGTTAACGTCACGTGAACATTGTAAATGTGATCTATAACAACGAAGCCGACTTCATATATGACCGGCCTGCATATTTTACGATCGTTAAGAATCAAACACTGTACATTCTGTACACAGAAACGAACAGAGAGCAACACTGGTTTAAAAAACTAAAAATAATCCCCAACAGTCAATGTGCGCGCACACACACACAAAGAACCAACCACAACCTGCCCTCAAGTTGTTCTCAAGACTATACAGAATTTAAAAAATATAATTATGAGAAGACACGCAAACACGACAAACACAATACTCAAAAATACCGCCGCTGCCATTCGTTAAACGAGTTGTTAGGAAGCACAAACAGTGTTTTTCTTTTCTCTTCTCTCGACTGCCCCAAGTTCATCAGCGGAACTTGAACCTGGCACCCGCGGTCATCCTGACGCTCGCTCGCTAATCGAGCATTCGATGAAGCCGAGAGACAATAAATTAGCGCGCACACTCACTGCCATTGACAATCAGGACGGGGGGCGACGGGGGGCAGAGGGGGCGAGGGGATGTGGGTTAGGTGACACGTTGCGATTAGGGGGTCATGGCTCAGGGCTCAGGTTTGGGGTTGTGGAGGCGGATTAACCAAAGACAGCGGACTCGGAGTCTCAGGATTACGCCTCGGTGCATGGGATTTGTGCGTAAGCCAAGGGTAAATGTGGATCACGGCAGAGTGTGAGCATTTTGGTTAAGAGTTTTGTGGATTGGCCGTTCGTCACTATGTGAAGGTTGCGGTCACGAGGACGGGGGTTGGGGGCGGTGGGGGGGTGGGGGGTTTGGGAGGTGTGGGGGTGGCGTGGGGATTGTGGTGGGGGGGGGGGGCGTGGGGGGTGTGGGGAGTGGTGTGGGGGGTGCGGGTGGTGTGGGTGGTGAGGGGTGTGGGGAGTGGTGTGGGTGGTGTGGGGGCGTGGGGGGTGTAGGGAGTGGTGTGAGGGTGTGGGGTGGCGTGGGGGGTGTGGGGAGTGGTGTGGGGGGTGTGGGGGCGTGGGGGGTGTGGGGGGTGGTGTGGGGGGTGGTGTGAGGGTGTGGGGTGGCGTGGGGGGTGTGGGTGGTGTGGGGGCGTGGGGGGTGTGGGGAGTGGTGTGGGGGGTGTGGGGGCGTGGGGGGTGTGGGGAGTGGTGTGAGGGTGTGGGGTGGCGTAGGGGGTGTGGGGGTTTGGGGGGTGGGGCTACGTTCGGCAGCGCGACGCGCTCACCAGGAATGACACGCGGCGGGAGGAAAAAACAACAACGACGACAACAACAACAACAACACGATTGCACGCGTTACTCGTGACGAACGTTCACAGTGAGCTTCGCGTCACCCCGGGGGGGCGGGGGGCGGGGAGGTTAACTCGGCCACGCTAACGCAGGAGGAGGGGCAAGTAAAATAACAAAGCATTACCACCACAAACTGTGCAGTGGTCTGGACGACGAGCGCTCAGCCACGGGTCCCCGCAGAGGGTGATTTCTGTTCGAAGAACGGGAGGAAAAAGCCTTCAAGGGGGAAGATGATCTGCAGATGCCTTCTGGGCCCATGCGGTCGTCGTTTCTCAGATCCATTCTCTCTGCCTTCAGAACAGCATGCTCTGTCTTCTGTTCTTGCCGTGCGCTGCGAGAGAATGACAAGCATCGTGCATTTAGTGCCACGGACCTCCGAATACACGCCAGCGCGCATCGCCGCGCCCCGGAGAAGAGGTCACGAGGCGAACAATTCGGCGGTTCTTTTCTTCGGGCCACGTTCGTTTGTGATGCGTCAATCGACGTTGTGTTTGTTGACGCAAGGAAGAGGGGTTTACGATCGCCGACTGACATGGGTCAAACCTTTGGATTATGAAACCTGTTGTTACGCGAGGTGACGTCAATAATGTGAGGGCAATTTGTGAATTGATGGATTGAACTGAATTGTATAAAACATTTCAATCAAAGATGATCTTGTGAAAAGTACACCACCGTACATGCAGTATTAACATCTACAATTACTTTACCAAGCATTTTTTCTCACTTTACAATTATGCATTTCTTACGACTAGCAGCAGACGACCATCACGGTTCTGAAAGGCGGTTATGATTTCAACTCGCAACACGCTGCGCAGTATTAGCTCACTCTTAAGAGGCGCGAGAGGGATACCACAGACAAGCGGGAAGGCCGACATGCAACGAGCAGGTGCTATGAAATGCACAGCCTCTGCGGTCCTCTATATATGAAGGTGTCATCGGCCAATTAACGCGTGCTTACGTGTGGGAAGAAACAGGAGCACCCAGAGAAAACTCACGCGTGCGAGGGGGGGGGGGGGGCAACACTCGATCCCCATACAGATGGAACAGGTGGGGTCCACATTTGCCACGCTGCATTCTCCTTGCAAGCCAGGGTATGGGCATCTCAACGGCGATGGGAAGAGAGTTTCACAACATCTGCGTGTGGTCCACCAACCCTCGCCTCCACAGTGCTGGATCAGAGGCGTGCATAGCCACCACCGCCCGGCTAAGACGGCGCCTCTGAACTACCTCTGGAGCCATGCCAATCAGCTGCGCTCACCTAAAACGTACAGTGCTCCTTGAGGCTCTGTTGAGAGTGGTCATTGCTTGTTATGCAACAAAAAAGGTGGGAAACTCACAGAAAAGAATAGACTCTTATTCAAGATTGAACTACTAACTATTAACTGTTTTTTTATTATAGCAGGTAAGGCCCACTGAGCTATACAGCTCTTTTTCAGAAGCAACCTGGCCACAAATGATAGCTTAACTCAGTGGCTTATGATGTGGAAATTTTGTATCAGCCAAATACTCAAAACGCACGTTGATTCTAAGTGTGGACAGAAAAACCAGAGGACCTGGAGAAAAATCCACGTGACCACGGGAAGAACATAAAAACTCCAAATATACAGCAGGCGTCAGGATCGCGATCAAACCCACGACCTCCTGTGTACCAGGCCAGGTAGTTAACATCTCGCCACCGTGGGTCACCAAATAGCAAAATCAAAACAAGTAGAGCAATGCAGCAAAACATATTAATCAGAGATTGAAACAAATTATTTAAAAAAAAATGATACGCGAGTAAACTGTAGCACTACTCCAAGCAGGCCTCATCATCCTCAACATCAACCACGGGCTGTCCACCGCAGGATGAATGCCTCCCTACAAGGCCCCAAGAGTCCACACATTGATCTTTTGATATTCGACCAATTACATTTTACAAAAATCGATGTCATTCTCTGATTTAATCAATTTTTTTGTATCCATATAACAGCCTTGAAGAACTGGCCCAATATAAATGAGGGTTTCCAAATCCTTGTGCACGTTGGTCTGTTTACTAGCCGTTGCAAAATTCAAGGCCACGATTCAAATCGTTTGAATGCCTATCAGCCCTAGAGTGTCTGCTCATGGCTCAGACCCGCTTTTATATTCTCGGTCAATTTAGTTTAACATTGACTGTAGTTGTGCTCACCCCGTGTCCCGGTATTATCCCCCCCCCCCCCGTTTCAGGTCACACACCAGGGTTGACATCCATTTGCACAGCAATTCAACATTTGTTTCCACGTGCAAGTGTATCCGTGTACATTTGCAATTTACCTGCATCTCTCTCTAACCCTGATTATAACTCCAATAAGCCTGGCACCGAGCATATGAACCATTGCTTTTATATCCTCCCAAATCATCATCATCATCAGCCATAATCATCTGTTGGATGAAGGCCTCCCCAATTTGTCACCATCTTTCACTGTCCTGCGTTGTAATAACTCCCAAACAATAAAAAATGTAATCGGCACAATAAAAAAAATTCATATATTTTTGGCACGTTACGATGCACTCCAATTTACCAAACAGGTCAGATCATATTCAATTAGATTCAATTAGATTAATATCCCGCTTCAATGTGTAATTTGACGGCTCAATGTGGCCAACTTAAGAAAGCGTTCAGTCAAAAGGCGCAACGTCTAACGACGGCGCTGGAGTCGTCGCTTGGCGACTTTACCTCCATGGCGCATTTTGACGGCCATTGCATCTGTGGGGTGGAAGGGGACCACCGGATGGGACGAGTGTTCGAGCGATGATGCTGCCACACGGCATGCTGGACCAACTGAGTCTCATTCTCTGCACTGTGATTCGAGGGCAGCTGAACAGCCCTGGTGTCCAAACCCTCATTCTTGATAGTGCACTGTGGAACAACATTTTTTTTTGTTCCTGGGTAGTAAGTGTTATTTCCTAATTGCTTATGCCTCAAAAGTACAGAAAATGACTATTATTCCCCACAAACTTTGCTTTTGTGACCAGGACAGTGATATTTTGTAATTTACCTATTTTCAATGAGAAAACGTGGTGTGCATGTGCCTTTCCTTCACATAAAGTCCTGGTCACAAAAGCAAAGTGTGTGGGGAATAATAGCGATTCTATATTCTTTTTAGGCATAAGCAATTAAAAAATTACACTTACTACCTAGGGACTAAAATGGTGTTACATGGTGCTATTATTATTCGTAGTCGTCGATTGTTTGTGGAAAGTGCCACTCTAAGCTCCCCACTATATTTACATTGTACATACACAACCTTCCTCGTGTACATCGTCCCCTGCCATAGGAACTACATCGTCCACCAGGGGCTTAGGGGCTCGCTGCAGTCGGCAACGACGCGTTGACTTTGTAAGCGTTTTTGCCGGCGCAGCAAAAGGAACATTTCAGCAAAATTCCCTTCTCCCAATTGTGACTCGACGAAACGCAGAGAACGGTGCGTTAGCAGATGCTGTTACCGGCAGAGGGCATGTCTTGAAGCGAAGAGCAGATCCTAACTGTTGGTGCACTGATAGAGTGAGCGGCTAGTGACCATGCCAAGGTGCTTGTCAATTGGGGTGGAGGAGGAGGTGGAGGAGGAGGTGTCAGCCAGAAATGCTACCAGACAAAAGCAAACGAGAGAAACAAAAACAACGGGAAGAAGTCACACATGAGAGCTGAAGGGAAATGAAAGAGATAAGACAGTTGAATAAAGCAGACTTTCGTAGAAGCTTTGAAAATGAATAAAAATTAATAAAGTTCACTCATGGGGAGGCAGATATATTGTTGTGTGGAGAGAGGTTACTGAGTGATGGTGGTGGTGGGGGCCTTCACAGCCATCGGTGTTTGTCTTACCAGATTCTTGGTAGGAGGACATCCTGTGGCCAGGGTCCTTCTGAAGCTCCACCTCCTTCAGAGCAAACACTGAAATGACTGAGCACGAGTGGAAACACGGGGGAGGGAACACACGCACACGCACGCAGAACCGGGGGTTGATGCTCCAACACCGTACACATAGCCAACCGTGCTAATCGGAGGTGACAACTTTTTTTTGCTGTTACTGAATATCGTGCAATACGAAAACGACCACGATGATAATCTTGTTGATGACGGTGGCGTTGATGGTCGAATGCGATGACGATGACGACGACGACGACCCACCTTACCTCGCTTCCCTCGTCTCGTTTGATGTCCCCTCCCGCCCGCTCCACTCTCAATCTCTCCCACCGCTCCTCACCGTTCCCCCCCTCTCCTCGTGCACAATCACCATCTCCGCTCCTTTTCCCTACTTTGCGCCTTGCATTGGAACAAACTCCCCCTCCACCCGAAGCAAGTTGCACCGTCCCCCTGTCGAGTTTCCGCTCCTCCCTCAAGACTCCCACCTCCTCTTACTGGCCCATCCTTCCCTCCATCCCTAGGCACCCACCGTAATTCCTGTACCCACTAAACGTCCCTCCCCATACCCCATCCCTATTCACCGCATCACTTTTAGTTACCCTAATTGTACCACTCATAACCCTTGTAAAGCGCAATGTAAATGTAAGGTAAGACGATGCTCACGGTGCCACACTTACTGTCTGGGAGGGAGTGCACCTCTTCCCCGAAACTCTTGAAGTAGGGACGCTTCAGAGCATCCTCCGCCGAGATCCTCGTTTTGGCTTCGTACTGGAAACAGCATGGGGAGGAGGGGGGGGGGAGATGCGCAAGTCTCACTCAGGGCGGCGATTAGCACGGGTTGGCAATGTACGGTGCGAAGGAAGTTCAACGCGCACACATACAAGCGTGCAAATACAATGGCCGCGTTTCATTTGATTTAGAAAATCTGCAGATCGCAAGTTCGGCAAAAAAAAGGCAAACCTCGGTGGAAAATGTAAAAAAATCGTGGGAATAATAAGAATAGCACACGTGGGGTGTGCTTTGGAAGGCAAGAATGATCGGTTAATGACGTACGTCTTATTGATAGTTAATGGCAGTTTTTTAATGTACATCTCAATTTAGGGAATACATCAATGGTTGGACACGTGCACACAACTAAATGCACCCTCACCAACCCAGCGCAGATGAAAGAGTCCGTTTTGCCTGAGGTACGTCCGACACCGCGTTATTCTATGAGCAACTGCACCTTCATTGAGAACATAATAATTAAAAAAACTACAACCCATGTTGGGGGAGTCACATGGTGTGGGGATTGCATCATTGCGTTGTAGCATGACGTCATGGCATGAGGTAATTGCTCTTCGGGCATGAGTTTTGAACTTGGCTTGGGAGCATGGCTGCTGATCTCAGACACGAGTCTGCTGCTGTCGTTAATCATTGAATCCAGAACAACACACTAATCAATAACACTGCCTCCATGGCATGGAGAAACTTCATTGCCACAAACGTCGCCTTTGAGATATATTTTTTGTTAAGGCCACAGTGTTTTTGACGAATGTGTCGAGGATGTTTTTGTTGTGAACTGTGAATTCCTTCTCGACACGAGTGGACAAATGATTTTTAAAAAACAATCTGAATTCCAGCCCTAATTTATGATATACACTGTGTCCAAGTAAACACAACTTCATGATGATACTGGTAAATATACACATGCTTCAAGTGTTACAAATGTACATCCTAAGTCGTGGAACTGCTTATATACCTCCTACAATGTCTAACCCACAAACAGACGTAATTTGGCAAAAACACAACTCGATGGATGCTCGACATGGAATATTTTTTTTTATCAACTTCGTGTTAAAGGCATTTAGAGTATTTGGCTGCTATACATTTCCACATGATAAGCCACTTCATTGGGCTATTGTTTGTGGGCAGGTCGCTTCTGAGTAGGCCTTAACCCGGGTAAAATAAAAATACAAGAGATTTCAGTTTTGTTGCCAGAAATAAGGGGAAAAACCTATTCTTATATTTTGGTACTGGCAAAGGAGGTCCCATGATGAAATACAAATTCAGTTCAGCTTTAGTAACTTGTGGGTGAAACAAATATTTGTATTTATTCCTGTAAATGCTTATTCGGGTTAAAGGTCAAACCCCGATGGAACACGACCAACGGGACCAACACCGCAGGACGCTAGGTGGCCCGTAAACTCTTTGCTCGACTTTCAATCAACGTGAACCACGTGGTGGGCCAAACCCATGTGCCCTCCGCACACACAAGGTGATCCCGTATGCTGGCCAATGAACGTGTACAATACAAGTGGCCAGGGATGCTTCCGCGGCACAATGGTCAGCAGGCTGGGCTTCGGCAATCCAGAGGTCGCCGGTTCAATCTCCCGTCGCGACGGTTGAGACAATAGTTTCTTAAATCCCCCCCCCCCCCCCACTGCCTCTGTCCACCCAGAAGTGTACGTGGATAGAGCACTGTTGTAATTTATATTGCTACATTAACCCCCTCTGGTCTTCGCACCTGATAGGCTCAGGGTGATGATATGATGATATCACCTTTACTCAATGGCATACCGAAATAGGAAGACGTCTTCACAATTCTGGCTAATCGCTTGATGATGCTGGTTGTAATCAGCAGCGGAACATTGTACTCCAATTGTGAATGTTGTGGGTTTACTCTCCAACTCACCGGTGTGCTGTACTAGCAACGAATTGGCATGTTTTGTTTACGTGACAATCCTTACTAATTGGCTGCGTCGGGTGGTGGTGGGTTTAACAACACGTTTATATTTCCACGACCTAACCTTTATTGTGGATAACATTGGTCACGAAAGCCTACGCGTCAAACAGAGCAGTTAGTCGACTGACAAGTCGCACGGTCGGGTAAAGTGTGGGTACTCGCATCTCCCACGACATCCAAGCCATTGCGTAAGAGTCGGTCAAATACCCTCTCGCCGGGACTCTCCAGAGCTCCCTCCAGTGGAGGCCCTTCCATTAACGGTGGCGTCAGTGAGCACTCATAGGGCTGTGCCATCATTACCTCCTCCTATACAGTAGAACCCCCACTCTTAACGACGGTAATTGGTTCCACGACAAAATCACCAGAGATTTGCCCGTGTATGGAAGTAGGCGTGTCATTTTGCTCATATAAACTCCTTGTGGTTCGTGAATCGGGATTAATCGTCGTATCGTTTCCGCTCAGTCGATCCGGTACCCAACTCAAAGTTGATCGGGCAGCCATCTTGAAAATGTCGATTGATTGGTGATCTATTAATTGGCGAGCAATACTTGGATCGGGTAGTCTTGTGACACACCCCCTCATTTGATTGGTTAACATCAGCAAGATCGGCAATTCCTGTCGCAGTCCGCTTTTATTGTACTACAGGCGCCCGCTCGCACCATCGGCGCAGGCGCTCTTACCAGCAGGAACTTTGAGAGCAGGTCCAGCCCGTCCACGTCCAACCTGCACAAACGGAAACACATCGCACGCGCGGCCGTCAGCGACACTCAGCATGTCAGTGCGGCGAGCAAGACTCAACGTCGCCGACTTGACAGTCAATTGCGCGCTCATTCGTTGATGCATTTGGCGTCAGGGGTGGCGCATTGGGTAACACTTGTGCCTGACACAAGGACATAGGTTCGATTCCTGACACGGGTGCCTCTCTGTGGATAGATTGTTTGTTCTCTGCCTGTTCTGCATGAGTCTCTTGCGGGTTCTCCGGTTTTCTCCCAAAGCAAAAAAAACAAACTTACAATGTAACTGGCATTGACCAAACATCCTAATTGAAAAATATAAAATACCTGCAAATTACTCAATTTGGAATTACTGCAACATGGCCCCCTTGCTGCAAAATTTTGGCAGGACCCTCCTGAAACGTAGCCTTGAGACTCAGCGACGCTTTCCTTGGTGAACAAGCACAACGCGAATAATTGGTGGGGCACACGAGAGTTCAATTCACACTTTGGCACAGGGGGCATTTACATTGAAGCCTTGGCGGAAGTCATGGGGAGAACGCCCGAGTCGAAGCACTGCCCTCGGGTCTTAAAATGTCTTCTCTCCTCCCACAGAGGTTCGTCCACTGCGTTTTCACACGTGATAAGAGCATTTCACTCGCGTAGAATATTTATTTATTTGTTTATTTTCCGCCCACGGTAATTACACCAAGATCCAGAACAAGGGGACGGCCTCGCTCAACCTGCTGCTGCTGCTGCTGCTGCCAGATCGTGGTCGCGCTCGATGGTGTGGACATGAAGCCTGTGCAGGAGGCCGCCTGGCTCGGGTGATGAATCGTGCGGCGACACCCGGAGGAACGTTTGAAACGGCCCCATTGATGGCAGATCGCCACAGTGGCGAGATGTTAACTACCTCGCCTGTTATACAGGAGGTCGTGGCTTTGATCCTGTATATTTGGAGTTTGCACGTTCTCCCCGTGATCAAGTGGATTATTCTTCTGGTCCTGTGGTTTTTCTCTGCTCATTTGGAATCAACGCGCGTTCAGAATATTTGGCTGCTATACATTTTCACGCGATAAGCCACTTTGTTGAGCTATCATTTGTGGCCAGGCCGATTCTGAAAAAGAGCTGTGTAGCTCAGTGGGCCTTACCTGGTCAAAAAAAATAGTTTAGTTTTAGTAAGTTTAGTCAGACTCCTATTGCACCGACGTCGCATGCCATGTGGCCCTGAGGTCACGGAACGCGAGTTGCACGCAGACGGCCGCAATTTAAAAATCCCGGCTTGAGGGGGGTGGGGGGGGGGGTGACTCAGCCATGCATTCAGTGGTCAATGAAATAACAGTGGGGGGTGGATAGAGCCCTGCCACAAGGAATGTGAAGTTTCCCCCACCGGTAGCTCAGGCATGCACAGACAAGAGAGCACCACTGCCCTCACTCTCGTTTGAGGGTTGAAAAACCCTCAAATGAGAGTCCAGTGGCAAGAGGGCAGGATGCGCCAGGATACGTACCGCGGCGCGTGGGTGATCATGGGCTCGGAGCGGTACTTGGGGAAGTTGTAGGACTTGTACTCTTCATTTGACGAAATCCCCGGCCACATGTCCTCTCTGGGCGAGCCTGCAGCAAGAATGCAAGCGACGGTCGGCGCGCGGCAAGACGTGTGTCAAAGTCATGACACGTTTATCGCCTGCAGTTACCGATCATCTTCCTTGTTTGTCCTTCAGGCAGGGTGGCACCGTGTTCAGCGCTCAACTCAGAATTGGAAGTTTCTGAGCTTAAATCTCAGCTGATGGCAACAGTGCTGGGAAGCTTTGCAAGTGTCAGCTCCCAGCAAGTTGGACATCATGATATTTGATCGAGAGCCCTTTTAAGCGGTCCCAGATGGGGCATCCCAACGCACTTCCGAGGGCGCACGATAAACGACATGCATCAGTATCTCATCTCAAACATCTCAAAAAGGGCACCCCCAGAGGCAGCTGTCTGTGTGCGGCACGAGGTGCTCGAACAACGTGCGGCTTAGCAACAACACGTGGGAGAGCAGCAGCGCGGGGGAGAGCAGCAGCAACACGCGCACTCGTGCCCAGCGCGAGCATTACCCAGCATCCTGAAGATGAGGTGCAGCTCGTCCTCCACGGTGGAGCCGGGGAAGAGGGGTCGTCCTGCCGCCATCTCAAAGAATATGCAGCCCACGCCCCTGCGAGGAGAGGGGGAGGGGAGGGGGGCGGCCCGACATCGTAATGAGAGCGAAACGAGGCTCGGAACGTAATGTTTTTCGTCTGGGAAAGTGATGGGTGGAAAGAAGCCGGAGGCGAGACAGACAATTAAGTTGCACGAGGTCATTTGGACAACTGTATGCGCCTGGATAGGCTTTGACGTAACGTTCTTGAGTAACGTCGCGGACAGGAGTATAAGTGGAAGGAGGGCCATGATCGCCGACGTCTTAGAGAAAGGACGTGACTCAGAGGGAGACGCCATGTGTACGTATGTATGTACGTTGAACTTATTTCGCACCGAACTTAGCCAACCGTGCTAATGGGAGGTGTCACATGGACGCCGCTGAGGATAGCTTGTGCAGACTCGCAGACTCAGAGGGGCAGTGCAAATGTGGTGAACAGCAAATAACGGAATTTGGAGTAAAAATCTGTTCCACTGTGACTCGTTCCCCAGAAACATCTCCGAAATTCACTCAAAATGTCCAAAAGGCTCTTGATTGGAATTCAAAGCTTAACTTCACGCTGTCAAATCATGCCATACCTCCATATGACATCATCATCCACTGATTCCATGACTTGGTTGGGCAGCATGCTTCACAACTGGAAGGCTAATCGAGTATGTATCACTTCACGGTAGATACGTAAAGTACCACTTTGCAGTGAATAGCGATTTTCTTACAGAGAGACTGATCCCCACGAAGCAAGTGTGGAGAGGTTCCACTCCTGGCTCAGGGCCACTGACAGACACAGGCACTGCCCCAGTGCTCCCATGAGGTGGGATAAGGATTTGTATCTGCATGTAGAGGACAACCCTTTCCTGTTCCGATGACGAGTGTGTACGTCATCAAAACGAAACTGGAAGAAAAACTAAAATAACTTTATCGGTACCGAGGCTCCCACAAGGCCATGCTGGAGGGCGGGTGGCACAGTTTTGCATGAGCTATCGTAGATTGCGGTCGTGTCGCTACGGTTCTCTGCGGTGAGTACAATGTTTTTAAAAACAGCGGTGCTACGCTTCTCTAAATAAAATTAACCGTGAACCAGGTTCAGAGATTCCACGGTGAGCGTAACATTAACGCTCTGCGACTTGCAGAAGTCTCGGAACGGGAAAGGGTTAAATGCCTAAAACACTCTTAGCGGCTTACATCTCATCTCAACCATTCCAATGCCCTGCAACAGTCTAGCCAAGGGACCCACCCACCAGTGGCAGCTGTCCCTGTTACAACGTGCGCGCAGAACTGGCCTGCAAATGTGCACGAGCGTGCCAGTAGGGGAGGGGTGGGGGGGGGGCAATGTTGTTGCAGTGTGGATTTTTTTTTCTTCCAATTTAGTCATTTGCGAGCTTTGTGTTAGTTAATTTCGCACCCCAGTTAATCCTGGGCAATGGCCCCATAAGCTTTGGTTTTCCTTCATTGCAAGGTCAAATAGTGACATGCCCCGGTATTTGTGGAAGTAATTCCGTGGCGATGCCGTGTTGGCAGCGGTGCACACGCACAAGGAACAAACGCACGCGTCACAAACACCGTGGCCTTAAATGGGGAAAATGTCATTCGTGACATTTCGGCCGATGATGGCCATTACTACACCACCACTTTTTAATAACCCCACTTATTATTTAAACCACTATTATCTTAAACACAATTGTACACGGTATTTCCTCGTTATTCGCGAGGGATACCTTCTGGAGATGCTCACGAATAGAACATTTAGCGTATAATGATATTGGTCTACAAAAAACTATGTTTTTAATAAATTGCCTGACATAAATACATACTTAATCTATTAAATACATGCAATTTAAAATCTCTCATCACTTTATCTCATCACTTTCTCATTTTTTTTTAAATCTCGATGCAGTGGTGTAGAGTTCCAGATGCAAGTTGCAGACAGAGAGTTCGTGAATAACAAGGAAATACTGTAATTGCCATAAAGCGCCTTGGAATAAGGCGCTACATAGACCTATAAAATATAAGATTACATGTGTTATGAAGAAGGCCCATTGCCCGAAAACGTCACCAATAACATCGTTTCTTTTTTTCCATTTATGGCCACACAGTGTTGGCACTGGCGCACGAGTCGAGTTGTTCGTTGTCCGTGGCAGAGCTCCTCCTCCTCCTGCCGCTGCGTCGTTGCCCCAGGGGGATGCTCACCACATGTCGATCTGCGTCGAGTACTCGGTGGAGCCGAGCAGGACGTCGGGCGGCCGGTACCACAGCGTCACCACCTCGTTGGAGTACGTCTTCGTGGGCACCGACTTCGCCCGTGCCAGGCCTGGGCCACACGCAGACACGAGCGAGCCGTGATGCATTGTGGGAAGGGTTCCTTTTTTTAATGTATATAACGGATCATTCTGCAGCCGTATGCTTGTTGAACTTCTTTCGCACTTCCGATGAGCACGGTTGGGTATGTACGGTGCGAAATAAGTCCTACACATACGTAGCCAAACGTGGTAATCGGTGAGAGTCTCAAATTGTGGAGACTTCGGTGAGACGGCCCCAGCGTCCACCGAGCGGGTGACAGTCAGTGCCGAGTGAGCTGTGGTGGCCGGGGCAAGGGCAGTGCGGTGGTGACAAGTATGTACGTATGCATGAGAATAGGTTTTACCTGGTGTAGGCCAATCAATTGCAAAGACAATGCATATATTATCAGAGCATGTTTGTTTGCATGTTTTGTCACAAGTATGTGAGGTTCATGTAGGCTTGATGCCTTGCAAAAGATATCTATTTGTTGTTTGAATATCTTAAAACTCCTGTTTTATTGCCAGAAAGGGTAAAACCTATTCTTATTTTTCATACTTTTAAACTGGTAAAAAAAGGTCCCAACCGTGGTAATCGGTGAGAGTCTCAAAATGTGGAGACTTCGGGTGAGCCGGCCCCAGCGTCCACTGCGGTGCAAGGTGCGCACCTCCGATACGCACTGTTGGCTACGTACGGTGACAAGAACTTCAATGTGCACATACATACACCGAGCAGGTGACGGTCCTGCCGAGTGAGCGGCAGTGGCCGGCGCGGGGGGGGGGGGGCGGTGGCGTGGGAGCGAGCGGATTACCAAAGTCGGCCAGCTTGAGCTCGCCCTTGTCGTTGATGAGCAGATTCTGCGGCTTGAGGTCGCGGTGCAGCACGCGGCGCTTGTGGCAGTACGCCAGCCCACGCAGCAGCTGCAGCAGGAAAATCTGAAAAGGCAGCAGTCCCCACGCTGAGCTACATGCAGCACGAGCAATAGTAGTAATAATAATGATGACCGTAATCACATGGACAGGTAACAGTGTGGTTTATATTCATCAACAACAATATATAATAGGCGGAATTCTGTGGTAATACCCTTCTTCATAGCACAGAGAGGTCAGGAGAGAGAGTGGATAATGAGAGTTGGAGACTGCACACCATGGAGCCAAATGAGAATTAAATGTTTTTAAAAAGTTTCTGATTAAGTTTTTTTTTTTTAATTGGCGTATGAATAATCACCTAATAGTAGCTGTTGGGTAACAGACAAACCCTTGAATAATAATAAAAAGGATTACGAAATCAACTAATTGATATTAAATTATTATAAAATATTGCTGCACATTGCATTGTGGGAAGATTTGTTCTTTGGGAGCACAGGGCAGTCCACGGTGCAAACACTGCTGCTTCAAAAGTCAGAGGACACTGACAAAACCAGCTCTGAGGTTTTGAATGCATAATCCTTAACCAGGAGAGGTTGTTACTTGGGATAACTGTCCGTCAGTCAGCAATCTACGTGTTGCACTGATGCCCAGTGGCACCACCATGGGTTTGTATGTACGTAGAACTTATTTCGTATCGTACGAAGACAACCGTGCTAATCGGAGGTGCTTTCAAAACGGTGGGTTATGTGCACAGTGCCTTCACAACCAGACAGCGAATGATTGAAATCTATTGCAGATAAATATTTCCTTAACGACTTTCGATGGCAGTGAGCAAGTCACTTTAAACATTTATACTTCAGGTGTATTCGGGTAGGACTTTGTGTGGACAGAGCCGATTATTCACACACACATTCACACGCGAATAAAGTCGAAAACGCGAATTATAATCAATGGCTACTGAAACCTCAAAACTTCAGAGCTCTACGAAATGGAACTGTGGGAGATGTGTCATTTATTCACTCTACAGATATTCGCGTAACTGCACGCCCTCGATATTCAGCCCACGATGTTGGCAGGCTAGAGAGTAGCCCTACACATCTGGAGTGTTAAGATATTCAAACACCTCTCTGCGTTCAATCGCACGTAGCCTCGCTGTGCCCTTTGAAGCGCAGCCCAAGAAATGGCCGAGTGTCCAATTAAAAGATCAGCAGCGACAGCGAGTCAGTTGACCAGAAGTCCGCACATGGTGGGTTAAAGTGTGGGTAATTCCCACCTCTTCCAAAACCGCACCTCCGATTAGCGCGGCTTGCGAAATAATTTCAACACACATACATATGTACATACATACGTATAGCGAGCATGAAAGAGTAGGCCAAATACCCTCATAGCAGCTCTCTAGAGCCTCCCTCTAGTGGAGGCCCTTCCGCAAGCAGTGGTGCGAGTGAGTGATTGTGGGACTTCACCTTTAGCCTGATCTCGTGACAACCACAAAAAGGGTGCCAAGCAAAATCAGAAAATGCAAGACAAATCTGGCAGCGCGAGCATTTGCTATTTTCCTGCTACGGCGCGTTTGACTGGTTGAGGAGAGGAACAGGATTTAAGATGCTGCAACACGATTGGCTCAACTGCTCCGTCAGCACTGAGAGGAGCCGTGTGGGATGACACGCACTCGCCACAGAAGCTTAACAATGCGGCCAAAGCGATGATAGATCGGAGTGTGGCGTGCTGAGCAGAAAAGCCTTCTTAAGACAACGCTGATCCCCCCCTCCCCCCTCATCCAGCTCACTGATGTCATGGAGAAAGGGCAATGACCTCTTTGCATTGTGCACTTGGTACATGTAATGGAGGAAAGGTCTGAACTTCCCACTTATAGCGATTGCACTGTCTTGCAAGGATGCAAAATAAAGTGTCTTACCAGATGCTTTATTGTTCACGAAACAGCGATAAAATGTCATAATAAATATCATCGGCCATGGTCAATCCACTGCTGGATGAAGGCCTCACCAAAGCTGCTGCCATCTCTCTCCATCATGCGGGGCAATAATCCGCCCAGTACCTACGCACGAGCCGATCCCATTGCTCCATATCCTCCAGGATGCATTACATTCATTTGATGTATTGTTCTAAAAAAGTTATGAGGATTTCGTTTAAATTTCAATGAAAGAATAATCGACGTTTCATAAATAATCTCCAGCTTCAGAACGCCAGTTGACTGCCAACGTTCAAATATTTATTGCCTCCCAGTGACAGCAAAACATCCCATCCGAATTGTTTTATTAACCTGTCATGAATTGTATAATGTCCACAAAATACTATATTCACGGCAATTTAGTAGATAATTAAGACAAGTTGTACATGAAGGGCATGAGACTAAATGTGCGTTTCTACTGAGTACACTGTTTACCTGTAGAGCAACAGTGCTCACACAGGGTAAAACCTAAATTGTGGATCGCTCCCATTCGTAAATTGAGAAAACTGTTAAAATTACACTTGAAAGACACGTTTAGAGACAGCAGACGTATTTATTCAGGTATTGAATTAGATACGTTAATGCTTAATGCATTTATATTAAAATCCTGTTTATCTCTTAACGTTGATTTTATCTCATTCCTTCATTACCACAACAACAATGCTGTTGTACTGCGGTGTGCACACTCACAGGGATTCTCGTTACTCTCATGCCATTTAAGTGCTTCACAAATGCAAATCTTCATGGTTGTATCTTGATTTGAAGCTTTCGTGACTGCAGGAATCCATACTCTTTGGTTCTTTCGGTAAAGTCACGTAGGTAGAAAAATAATAATAGATCACAACGTTTTCGATCAGGTGGGAGACTCTCACGGTTGCTTGTGTGGCGATCGAAACGTCGTGATCTATTATTATTTTTCTTCTACCTACGTGACTTTATCGAAAGAACCAAAGAGTATACTTCATGGTTGTGTTGAACGTTTTGGCTTTCTCGTGCTTTTAACACGATCTAAAACAAACAAAATGGCTCCTTGCAAACGAAACTTTTCAGACAGCCCTCGTCACCGCCACTGGGGGCCCCCCTGAGCCCGTGGTGAAAATTACACGTTCCCATGGCCGAGGCCAAACTCATCCACCAGTCAACCACTGTTCACTCATGTCATTAACCCCAGGAGGAGAATGATGGGCAGAGCCGACCCCGCAATCGGAATTTTAATCCACAACTGTGAGTCATGTGTTCTCATAATGGAGCCAGCCGAGTGGATTATCACGCACAGGGCTAAACATTTTCACCTTGAAGCACGAACTAATCTAGCCCCTAGATCAATAACAACAATGAAGCACTCTGACTGTCTTCAATGCCCTTTGTAGCCTCCTGCCCCGCCTGCCTCACCTCTCTCATCTCACACGGCCTCCACATCTCCTCTCACCGTCGCTGTTAAAGTTTGGGCTAAAGGTCTTTTGACGATTCTCTGCCTATGACTCACCAAGTCTTAGCTCTTTAAAATAATATACCCACACAGAGTATATTAACACCTTCAGGGACATGCACATTTATTTTTTATAGGGTGTCTTGAGGTGCATATAAATGCTTAATAAAGCCACACTGTATCGTAACAAAAATGCATTTACGCTCACCGAGTGCGAGCACATCATGGCAAGATCCTATGTCCATCATCATCATCATCATCAAAGTTTTTTCGTAAAAAAAACGTGGGGCCATCAATTTTACTTGAGAAGATATAACCAGACATTATTATTACTATCTGCGATTTGGCGCCACATTTATAGTGGTAAGTTTGATAACCATATTACAGGCCCGACCTTTGGGGTGGGCAATCACAGCAGCTGCATAGGGTTAAACACTGAGGACTACGATTGGTATGGAGAACCTCAAAACCTTTGCCCAATTGTACTGCTTAACTAATGTAGCCATATACTTATCAGCTGATATTCATCCAACCATCGTGGCACATCATAAGAAATTTCTGGCACATCATAAAACTAGAGGCAGTGACATGGCCCAGTGGTCGCGCATTCACGACTTATTACGGCCTGGCCTGGTTATAGAGTCTGCTAAGGCCTGGCCTGGTTATAGACTCTGCTAAGGCCTGGCCTGGTGATAGAGTCTGCTAAGGCCTGGCCTGGTGATAGAGTCTGCTAAGGCCTGGCCTGGTGATAGAGTCTGCTAAGGCCTGGCCTGGTGATAGAGTCTGCTAAAGCCTGGCCTGGTGATAGAGTCTGCTAAGGCCTGGCCTGGTGATAGAGTCTGCTAAGGCCTGGCCTGGTGATAGAGTCTGCTAAGGCCTGGCCTGGTGATAGAGTCTGCTAAGGCCTGGCCTGGTTATAGAATCTGCTAAGGCCTGGCCTGGTGATAGAGTCTGCTAAGGCCTGGCCTGGTTATAGAATCTGCTAAGGCCTGGCCTGGTGATAGAGTCTGCTAAAGCCTGGCCTGGTTATAGAATCTGCTAAGGCCTGGCCTGGTGATAGAGTCTGCTAAGGCCTGGCCTGGTTATAGAGTCTGCTAAGGCCTGGCCTGGTTATAAAGTCTGCTAAGGCCTGGCCTGGTGATAGAGTCTGCCGAGAGATAAACACGCGACCAACAGAAGTGGCACCCCGACGTGTGACTGTGCGGATACCTGACGCACCTTCACGTTGTGCATGCTCATGATGTTTCCACAGTCGTCCATGTACTGCTTCAAGTCCTTCTCCTGTATCACGGATAAAGAGACATCACAGCAGCATTGGAGAGTACCACACTACATGCAAATGCTTTATAAGTATTATTCATTATTATTATGATGCTTGTTTACCCAGGAATCCTCACTGCATTTCAAGACTCTCTTTTACCCAGGAAAGCCATGTTTTCTCAGAAGGGGGGCCATATTGTGGCTGTGTGTAATCAAATGGAGTTATTCGCAGGTAATTTGTCAGCATTGGGATGTTTGGTAAACACCAGTTACATTGCATGAATGATATCGGTGGTGATGCTGCTGCATTGACAGTGGTGCACAAGCATAATTAACAAACAAACAAAAAACTTTTGTCAATAACACCACGGCCTAAAATAAAAACAGATGACGTTTCGGGCAATGGCCCTTCCTCATAGCACATCAATAAAGGCAATTGTGCTGTTACGTTGTCTGTGGTTTTAGCTATTGGAGGAAAGGGGAGAACCCGGAGGAAACCCACGGAGAGCAGGGGGAGGACATACAAACTCCACACAGGAAGGCGCCCGTCCTTTCCATTCCCACTTGTGGCTAAGCCACATGAAATGTATAGCAGACAAATACTCAAAACGAACGCTCATTCTAAAAGCGGAGGAAAAACCGGACGGCCCGGAGAAAAATCCACGCGACCATGGGGAGAGAACATGCAAATGCCATATATACAACAAGCATCAGGGTAGAGATCAAACCTATGCCATCCTGTATACCATGCGAGGTAGTTAACATCATACCACGATTCAAAGTGCTCCTCCCACCACAGTGGCAAGCACGGCACTCACCAGGTACTCAAAGACCAGGGTGAGGGACTTGTCCGTGTGCACGATGTCGTGCAGCGTGACGATATTGGCGTGCTTCAGATCCTTCAACAGCGACACTGCAATCGTCAACATCCTCATCAGTGCTTTTGCATCGCTGTCAATGCAGCAGCAGCACATGACCACAACGCAGCAGCAGCACATAACCACTGCGCCTCCTTTTGTATGTATGTTGAAATCCTTTCGCACCGTACGCAGCCAACCGTGCTAATTGGAGGTGCAGGGAAAGGACAACAATCTAAACTCACAAAGCAGTTCTAAAGAAATTAGTTTTCAAACTAGATTTAAAAGTGCAGAGCTAGTGGTTTCCTAATGTTGGACGGAAGGGCGTTCTAGTCGACTACAGAAGCGCATCTGAAAGCTCACAATGCGGTGACCGCCTTTGTTCGATGGCTAGGGAAACGCCGCTGTTGCGAGGACGAACAGAGTTTGCGTAATGGTTTATGCTCCTTGACGCCATCTCAAGGTATTGTGGTTTATTTGTGGCAAGCACTTTGTGTGTAATGAGTGCGACCTTAAAATGCATTCATTCGGCAACAGGAGGCCAATGTAGCTCGGCGAGGACTGGACAAACAAGGTCGGATCTCGCAGTATCCGTCACGACGCGTGGCCCGTCGTGCGGGTCATTGAGGTCACCTGACCATTCTTTATTTAACACACCATTTTTTGGCGAGGCTGCTGCTGTTGCTGCTTCTGCTGCTGCTGCGTTCACAGCGATGCAAAAGCACTAAACAGCAAAATGCACACTCGACACGTTTTGTCACCAACGCCGTGAATTTAAAAGGAAAACTCGACGAGAGGCGAACGTCTCAGGCGATGGCCCTTCCTCCAGAGCGCCAGGCTACGCGCGCAATTCCAAACGACGGGTATGCAACATTGTTATTCGCGCTCTCACCCTCGCGGATGGCCGTGCACGGCGCTCCCTCCTCGTGCTCCAGGCGGATCTCCTTGAGAGCCACCAGGTTGTCGGTCAACTTGCTGCGGCCTTTGTACACCGTCGCGTACGTGCCCTGCGCAACGGCGAGGTCATTTCGCCCACCGATCGGTGCGTTTATTATTTGAGCACAGTCTGTTCTTCTGTAACGCGTGTTGCTTTCATAACGCGAATTGTATATAACGCGATTAATGCATCGGGGAACGCATGTTTTTTTATAACGCGGATGCGAACCGGATATAACGCCATTGAGTGAGTGGAACTACGTCGCGCGAGTAGGAATAAAGAGCGCTTGTAACGGCTGCTTCAGAGTAGCGTCGTACAAGGCGGGATGCTGCTGGATGCTTCTAGATGCACAGCCTCAAATGAGTACCTGGTGCGGTGTGTAAACATTGCCACTAGGGCGTGGTGCTGGCCACCCACCCCCTCGTGTACCGTTCCGGCCTTCATAGGTGCTCGCTAACAGCACTTGCCCCTAAAGTCTGTTAAGGCTATATGGGGGATTTTTGTTGTCTGTGTGTGTCTGTGTGTGTCTGTGTGTGTGTGTGTGTCTGTGTGTGTGTGTGTGGCTGTTCTCCCGGTACTCTGGAAGCACGTGGTGGGAAGCCTCCAATGGTTGTGCTATGGAAACACTGACACTTGCTCTGGGAATGTGGAATGGTCCATTGCTGGGCTATGAGGTGGACATTTGAATGTAGGACAGAAAGTGGTCATCTCTACGTGATCTCTCGGGTTTCCCCCTAGTGCGTGTGGGATTTCTCCATGTCCTCTAGAATCCTATCACATGCAGAAATAATCTACAAGGGATTGGGCAAAAATATTCGCTGCAGGTCCCTCCTGAACAAGGAAATGAGCCTGACTGAGGCTTATATACAACTGATCGTGTCTTATATAGCGCCTGAATACAAGGCACTTTGCAGCAATTTAAAAAAAAATTGTACATAAGATGACAGTGGTTGAGATAAACGGTGGGGTTATTAAAAGTGGTGGTGTAATTGTGGTGACAGGAGAACAGGCGCAATACGTTAATGAGGGGTTGGGGTAGTGATAGGGGAAGTGATAGGGGTAGCGATGGGGGTAGCGATAGGGGTAGGAGTAATGCTAGGGATTTGGCAGGCCTGGTTGGATTGGGGGGAAGTGAGTAGCAGTTGCAGGATGGGCAAGGGGAGAAGAGATGGGGGTTGTTTTAAGAAGAAAAAAACAGAAGCAAGTCAGCGAGGACGATTGTTTCATGTGCAGTGGGAGTTGCTCCAAGTGAAGGGGAGGAAGAAGGGGACAGGAGAGCGAGAGAGCGAGACTGGGCACAGGGTGAGGGAGGCGCAGAGAGGGACGGTCGAGACTGGGAGCGTGGCGGACGGGATGGAACAGAGTAGTGAGAGATGAGAGGAGCAAGGTCGGGTAGGCCAAGACCATGGAGGGATTTAGAGACGAGAATAAAACATGTAAACAGACAGCGATAGGAGACAGGGAGCCAGGGTCGTTATGAAAGTCCAGCAGAAGTGTAGGAATTGTGAGGAAGGTTAAAGCATGGTCTGGGCAGTTAGTCTGCGTACACACACGACCTAAAATACCCATGGGCTCCCAACGAAACCAGCAAAACAAAATAAGGAAAACTTTATCAATACATCGTTGAAAAATTGACAAATGTTATCCAGCAATATTACCTTCACATTCGAATACTGCTGAAGTACACAACATCTGCGTGTTGCACATGCCGTGGGGGCTGCTTTGCAATGCATTCAATGTGAAACGACGTGAGACGCAGCGCCTGTCGGCGAGTCGCGTTAAATACCTCTCCAAGCTTGTCGAGCTTCGTGTAGGTTTCCAGTTTCCCAAATCCAATTTCTGACTGAGAGAGAGCAAAACAACAAGGGGAGACATTTAATTGCCACGTCCCTCAACAGAAACAGGAACGAGATTGATTACATTTGTCTGTGCGTTTTAATGGAGCAATCCGCATCTTCAAAACACTTCACAAAATTAAACGAATGTAAAACATCTTCTACATATATAAAAGGGAAATTTGTGAATATGTGTGTACCTGTTCGAAATGTTTAGCATACTTCCCAACATGCAACAAACTTGAAATTTGGCATGTGGGTAGCTTCCAGACTGTACACAATGCAAAGAGTATAAAAATATACTTTTGTATTTTGGGGGAGGGGGGGCGCAATAATGGATATATTATTTTGCACGGCAAGTGAGCGGTGACGTCACATCTGTGATATCACCCACATGCGGCAGCGTCACGCAGTGTGCCTGCTGACGTCACCCCCCCCTACCCTCCGCGTAGGCCGTGTATTAATCCAAGACAAGAATCCAAGTCTCGGGCGAAGCCGGGTAGTAAAGCTAGTCTATTATAATTTGTTTTTACCAGATAAGGCCTGAGATATATAGCCCTATTTCAGAAGCGACCTGGCCACAAATGATAGCCTGATGAAGTGACTTATTATGTGGAAATGTATAGCAGCCATATACTCTAAACGCACGTGGATTATAAATGTGGATGGGAAAAACCGGAGGACCCGGAGAAAAATCCAGGCAACCACAGGGAGAACACACAAACTTCAAATATACAGGCGCCAGGGTTGGGGGTTGAACCCACAAACTCCTGTATACCAGGCGAGGTAGTTAACATCTCGCCACCGTGGCGACATGAAACGTTAGCTGGCTAAAAGGAAACTATAATAAACGTGGCAAAAATAATACAGAAATTTAAACCCTAAAATAAAACAGCCAAAAATAACAAAATAGCTGCCAAGTTCTGTAATTGTTCAGCGATGAGAATATCGATGTTTCTTTCTCTCTCCTCCGAATATAACATGCTGAAAATATCCCCGCTCATTACCAAGACATCTCAATGCAAATTCCCCCTCTTGTATATCATCAAAACATATGGTCACATTTACGCGCATTACGCAGACAAATTGCACTGCGTTGCATTTAAACATTCACCATCTCTAAATGATCCCCAATGCTGTTGTTAAGCCCTTCAATTTGAATCCACACATAATCATATCATCCAAACCGCCTCTGATGTGATTCTAGACATCATTGAATAACCGATTAACTGGGACATAGATCAACCCTTTGGATATGTTTAGCATTTAAATTTTTTTTTAATTCTCCATGAATATTCAAATCGGTGTCAGGTCTCGGGATGAAGGAATATCCATTGAGATTGTGTCAAGGCACAACGCCTTCTGGAAGATGACATCAGAGATCAACTTCTGAAGTCCCATTATGATTGGGCTGCTCACGAACACTCGAAGGTGGACATTTTGGCGAATTCAGTGAAAAACAAAACTTTAAGAAAAATGGATTCAGTTTTTTGTTGTTGCACAGTTATTGGTGACCGGGATGCGACTCACAACTCAATAGACGAGGGTGCCCAGCTTAATAATACACTGTGGCTGAAAGGCACACAGGGTCTCATTTTGGTTTACACAGCCCTCCCTGTTAATGTGACATTAATCCCCCCCCCCCCCCACGCCGAGTTACCCTCTCAATCCGGTCTCTTTCACAATTAATTAGGATCAACCAGGTATGTCTAGCGAGCAGGCCTCGGTGGCCTAGATTGCTCACGTCTCGTCAGGGGCAGAAGCAGTGGGATTTACTGAGTTTGAAGCCAAGGAGCGAGGTGACTGAAACCTTTTCATTTAGTTAAATTGCGTTTTGTCACTTAACTCTGGCATATTTACACCTTCCGATGCTCAAAAGTAGCGGTTTGTCAAGCAATTAACACTCGATGCCAATTGAGCGGGAAGGCAGAGAGCCACAGTGCAGTTCTTCAGGAAATGCTGATGTTTTGTGTGCATATGCACAAAAAGGCTGCGTCCTTTCTACACATTTGTGCGTGTTATTTGAAACTCATTGTTTAGCAGCTGGCACCATGATTCTGTTACAATGATGGTTTTTATTTATTTATAGATTTGGTGCAGCACCCAAGTGTGCATCAATGGCAATCAGAGAGACTTGCTGTGACATCACGTTCCACAGCCACTCTCCGGCACACGAGGTAATAATGCACGGGTGCTGCCAGACGTTTCTGAAGTGAAGGTATCATCACAGCATTGTTTTTTTTAACACAAGGAGAGAAACAACAAAACGCCCGGGGCCCCACCAAGGAGGCACGTCGCAGCCGCCGGCTCAGCGGCGCGTCAAAGGAGCGGCCGTTGAGCTGAAACTTCTCCAGGTATCCCTCCGGCAGGCGGATATCGGCCGGCAGAGACAGCCGCTTGTTCAGGTCCTGCCGACGGACAAATCGCACGCACGTGACCAAGGTTAGGGGAGGGGGGCGCTCGCCGATGTCTTATTTAGTTTGTGGTTCTGCGCAAGCGTCCTTCCGTGCGAGCCCTGCCGAGCGATCCCCATCGCAACGCTCTCGCCCCCGCGTCGGCGCGGGAAGTGAGTTTTCAATCCAGAACCGCGTGGGCACGGTTACGGAGGCGCGGCGGCGCGTTGGACTTGGGAGAGCACAACATCTCACGTGGGCTTTTGCCGTCACATGACTGATCGAATTATCGGTATTATTGATCTGTTTATTATGACGCTCGCTTGCTTACGCGGGAAAGACGCAAGAGTCTTGTTTTTTCAGGAAGATTCCTGCCAAGCCATCCCAGTCGGGGTAAAGGCTGCCGCTGCGTAATCCCCAATCGCGTATTCTGCAGGGGCGTTTTTCAGCATCGGGACGCTATGGTCAACGCCAGTTGCATTGTGTTTTTTTTTGTTGCTACGGGAGGGAACTGGAGAACCTGGAGAGAACCGATGCGGAACAGCAGACGAATATACAAAAGCCACTTCAGAAAGGCAGCCGAGTCAGGAATCGAACCCAGGCCCTCATTGCTGTGAGGCACGGACGTTGCCACTGTGCCCCCTTGACCCGCCAAAGTTGTTGTTGTTACCTAAGCAGCAGCGGGTTGTGTCTACAGAGCTACTGTGGTTCAGAGGTCAGCTCACCAGTATCCGAATCTGAAGTCTCCAAGGTTAGATTCCTGACAAAGTAAATAACACATCTCACCCATTGGTTTTGCACGTTCAGCCTGACCAGCAGTGAAATTAGTATTCTACAATAATTCATTCAGTGTTTATCTCTGTCCCAAGATGTTTCACTAAGCATCTGAACAAGAGCCAAATAAATGCATCGAGTAATACAGGCACTTCAATAGCACCCATGCATAGCGCATATCACAACTCGCCAGTCCCACACATCATATGCATGCCTGTGTGCGCATGTGTGAATGTGCTGTGCCTGCCTTCCCGGAGTTGCTCACTATCAGCACTTCTCCCAACAGTCTGTTGAGGCTATACGGGGGATCTCTGATGCGAGAGTGTGAATGGCTTTCTGTGTGCATGCGTGAGCGTGTGTATCGTTGTGTGTGTGCGTGCGCGTGTGGTGTGGATAGCGTTGGCGCAGCGGTGGGGAGCGGTGGTTTAGCGGTCAGCGCGCTGCGCTACGAACCCGGCGACCTGGGTTCGATTCCCGCTCACGGCCTCAATTGAGTACCTGGTGCGGTGTGTTAACATCGCCACTAGGGATAAAAAGGCGGTCGGGCGTGGTGCTGGCTACCCACCCCCTGGTGTGCCATGCCGGCCTTCATAGGTGGTCGCTAACAGCACTCGCCTCAACAGTCTGTTAAAGCCATAGGGATAATCTTTATCTTTGGTGTGAAACTGTGCACGGCTGTGTATGTACGTGTGTGTGTGAGGCATATGTGTGAGACGTGTGAGCATGCGTGCGTGTGTGAGTGTAAGCGCGTGCGTGAGTGTGCATGCGCACGTGTGAGACGTGAGCATGCGAGCACGCGTGTGTGTGTGTGAGTGAAGCAGGAAAGTGCGTGTGCGTGTGTGAGTGCGTGTGTGAGTGCGCGTGTGAGTGCGCGTGTGAGTGCGTGCGTGCGCCCACCTCCTGGGAGATGCGCCGGTTCTGGTGGTTGCGCATGCGCACGTGCACGGGAGACTGCACCTCGTCCGAGGACGTTCCGGATGCCTGGTCGCTCTCTCCGTCAGAGCCCATCTTCAGGTTCTCGTGGACAATTCCTGACGAAGACGACGATGATGGTGATGAAAGTGACGACGATAGCAACAGTCGATTCGCACGTCCAGGAAAGCTGCTGTGAGTCTCAGTACTGTTTTACATTGAGGGTTCTGTTTGGAATGTTTGGCGGTGAGTCGGGCTGGTTGGCTCGGACACCTGGGGTTCTGCGTTGACCCCATGGCTTCATTAAGAGCTTCATCGTCACTCGCCTCATTGACAGCGGCAGGCAAGTCACCGGCAAAGTTTGGTCAATGCCCTGATTGATTCATTACCTGTACTTACCAATGAACAATGGAAGAAAATGTGTTTGTTGGAGGAACCCAAAATGCTAAAGAAAATTCACAAATTCAAATGGGGAAACTCTCAATAATCTTTACACGACAGCTCGGCAACCTGCTCCCTGTACGATGGCCACCACACGCCTACGTCGCACATGATGGAAGTCTCCCGGATGTGACATCTCTATGCAACCGATCAGCGCCACCTCTCCAAGGGGGCTTAAATGACCAGACAAATTTGGCTTTTGAACTCCGGTCGGGGCATGCCTAACACTCAAGACATTACACTGCCTCTAAATACCCCCTTCAATTGATCTCTGGTCCAAACGGCAGAGGGCAGCACTCGCTCACCAGTCCCTGTACACAGTGACCAATGTTCGCCGCATGACATCCAAACTGATATCGCAGAACCAAATGTAACATTCTGATTCGCATAGCCAACGATGACCTGTCTGAGACCATCAAACTCGTTGCACTTGAGAACTCGGTTTAACAACGGGGAGACTGAGGAATCCCGGATTCGAACCCGGGACCCCTTGCCGCCCCCGTTAGAGCAGAAGTGCCAGGACCCAAGAGCACGGTAGCTCTTGGCCGCTGCGGCTCTGGCACAGACGAGAGAGGGAGCGCATCAGACAATGCACACAGGAGGAGGGCGGGGGATGCGGCGGTGGCAGCAGCAGCAGCAGCAGGGTGCGAGCGTCGCGCCCACCGAGCCGGTTGTTGTTGTTGATGGGCATGTTGACGTAGGAGCCGAAGCCGCCGTTGCCGATGACGCTGTGCGGCCGGCGGAGGGGCGGCTTGCGGAGGCTGCCCGCGTACTGGTGCAGGAAGGAGTGCATGCTCTGCGACGTGGGCGGCTTCCCGTTCTTCACCATGGGCTCTGCCGGCGCACGTTGGGGGGGATGGGAGTACAAAACGACCGTGAGCGACGTCGCGGTGGAACGTGAGCGACGATGCAGAGGAGCGGGCAACGCGTCTCCCTTGTACAGGAAGCGGATTCTGAGATTTTCAGATTCACCTTTCGCCGTCCCAACAAAACCCACCACCAGCCAGTAGATTTTATCCTCAAGATTCTGCAACATTATTCGATTCAAGGATAAAAACTTTTTTTTGGCTTTCTTGTGCTGCCTCGTTTGCACCGTGTTATCAGTCCATTACTTTATTTATCCTGTGAGTATCGTCAGCAGCATCAGATTTGTCTGTGCAGAGCTACTGGTCTGGTTGAGACCGTACCCTTTTTGCTCTGCTTCGTTAATTACAACCATTCGCCAAACAGAACAAACTGCATTAAATTTGCATGGATACACAAATGATGCTCACATGCATAATTCACAATGTCTCCACGTTGAATTGCTTGCACTAATGTGGAGGGTACCATTTGCAAATAGAAAGACATACCATTTTTTTAAAGACAAACCATTTTTTGCAAATAGTTTGGGGCTTTTTAGAGATATCTTGACAAATGTATTTGCGCACCAGTGGAGGTAACCGATACAAGTTGAACTGACAAACGCTTTCATCAAACATTCACTGTGCATTAAGATAAAAATGCGGTGCCAAATTTCCATAACGGAATTTGCAAAAGGCACTCAACTTGCCGGCTATTCTCGAACCATTTGACGTTTTGCAATTGTGACATTTCCTCAAAAAGTGACATTACAATCTTCCATGGCACATATATGCCAACCAGATTTTCGAGCAGTTGATGTGCAGACAAGACGTGGCCCCTGCCCTCGCTCCGCACGTCAATTCTCTCCGAGTCAATACTCGGGTCAAATGTCTCCGTGCTCGCTGCAGCGATCCGCTCTGCTCGTCTTTGATGGGGCGCCCTGGGCCGGTGGTTACATTTCCACCCCTCCGTGTCGGGGGGGCACAGCATCGCCGGGGGTTGCAACCACCGACGACGTTGCACAGGGTGCGGCTCTGCCCGCTTTATCGACCCTGCAGGTCTGATGGGATGAGTTCGCCCTCGACCGGAATTTAAAATGTTACGATATTTCCTGCCTCCGATTAGCACGGTGCGAAAGAAGTTCAGTGCACGTACATGCATACGAGTTGAGCGCTATGCACGCAGAAACCACCAGCCCGGCACAAAGACAGAGATCCCCCATATAGCCTCAACAGACGGTTGGGGCAAGTGCCATGAGAGAGAACACCTATGGATACCAATGCGGAACACAAGCGGGTGGGATGTGGCCAGCACCACGACCGGTGGGTCTCTGAGTGCTGACGTTAACACACAGTACCAGGCATTCGTTAGTCAACCCGTGGAGGGCAGTGTCCAGATACCACTTGCCACTGATGTGCATTGCCAGGAATCAAACTCACGACAGGACAACGACAAAGATCCCCTGTATAGCCTGAACACACTGTTGGGGCAAGTGCAAGCGAGCACCTATGAAGGCCAGCATGGCGCACGAGGGGGTGGGTGGCCAACAACACGCCCGGCCGCCTTTGTCTCCCTAGTGGCTATGCTTACACATCGCACCAGGTACTCATTTGAGTCTGAGTCGACTTAGGGGAGGCCCAGGCCCGGATCAGATAATCGTCACTGGTGTTGGCCGTGATCGGGAATCGAACTCGGGTCACCGGGTTCGCAGCGCAGCGCGCTCACCGCTGCATTACCGCTCCCCAGAACAGAAACTCACATACTCACACACATACCCACACAAATACCCACACGAATACCCACACACATATGAGGGAGCCCTGGGGCACGGGGTCAGCGCACTCAGACAGCTGTGTTTGACTCGCCCGGACAGCTGGGGAGTGGCCCTGCACAAACATCACTGGGACACCTCCCTGCTGGGCAAACAAGACACTCCAGATAATTCCCACTGCCTAAACATAGCCACACGGGAAGCGGGCACTTAATGTCAAGAGCAGACGCCAAGGAACAAAGGGGAATGTAATGGCGTGTTTAAGGACAAGATGTTATCTTCCTGCTATCCGCGATGTTACGGAACGTCGGACCTCCTCTAGGTAACCGCGCGGATTCTGCTCACGACAACACGAGGTGCGCTCCGGATAACGGGCGGGACGATGAGCGAGGTCGGACCGCAGATCAGAGGACATTCGCCACGACTGCACCCTCAAACGTGCGCCACGCCCGCGTACTTCGCGTCGACATTCATTCCGGATGCGCTCGGCAAAACTCGGCGACGAACGTGGGACGATGGACGCCGCCGCGGCCGCTCGTGGTTAACGCGGTGCCTCTTCTACTTCCTTGCAATCCACGCTGCTCCATTCGAACGGGACAATTCAGACGCTAAATGGCTTCGCGTGAATGCCCATTATGTGGCGGATGGCGGCGGCGGTACACTCGGAGCATTCAGCGCCGGAGCCGTCTCACCCCAACCCACCCACCCACCCCAGCCCATTCATTGCCGACTACGAGCGCGCACAAGAGCCGGGCGTGGGAGCCGCACCGCGACCCCCGACGGTCACGCAAAGACTCGCGTTGGCAGCTTAAACGGCGGCATCCCCATCCCCTCCCCCTCCGCCACCCGAGCACCGCTCGACGGCGAACGTTGCGGCGCAGCGTTGCCCTGAAACATCCACGGGAGCCATCACAAGGACTTTAGCCGGCAGGGGCGGTGCCAGCGGTGAAAACTTGTGCCTCGCAGCGAGGAGTTCCTGGGCTCGCTTGCAGACTCGGGCGTGCTTTACTGCGGCGAAACCTGTGCGTTTTACACCTGTTCTGGGTGGGTTTCCTCTCGGGGTTCTCCGGTTCCCCCCCATAGCCGAACAAAACTGGGCAATGCAACCGGTAATTGGCCGAAATTTCCAATGCTGAAGAATTAATTCCCTGTTAATTGCTCAACTGGAATTCTATTCTTGCGCTTGACGGCGACGTGCATCAGGAGCGAAGTGCCAATGTCGAGGTCTGCTGGCCGCGACGAGATGGGCTTCGGGGGAGAGTTCGTGGAGATTTGGCTACTCCTCGATCGTCGGAGGAACGCCGGACGGCAGTGGTGTTCTGCATGGTCCACAGTTTGGGTTGCACGGCAACAGTCGTACCACTGCCGCTCGTGTCTTTAATTTTCTATTCACCAAGGAGATTGTGTGCGCACCGTGGCCTGTTGCCGTCCCGGTGCGGTTGATGGCTGCACTGGCATCTTCGAGGAGGAATGTCACAGCCAGGAAGGGTGTACGATGTTTGGAATTCAAGAAAGTTCGCAGGATCCCCCTAAAAAAAGAGTCGTGAGACTCAGTGCGGCTTTTCTGAGTAAACAACCATAAAATAATAATATCAATAATAATACAACAATAAAACACAGTTAAACATTCAGATTTATTCCCATGTGAAATTTGAGAACTATCTGTGTTCGTATCCATTGCCAACCCTGAGCAGGTGGTTATGGGATTTTCATGTTCCCGTGGTGGGTGGGAGGGGCAGTCTCTTTGTAGAACACCCATTGTTGATTTTCTCCCAAGTTTTGCTCGATTTGCTGGCGCTAGACATTTATTTTAAGGCCTCAACTGAACTCAACTGGACTCAACCGGTGCTTCCGATGATTCCATGCCGTTTTTGTCGATCAAGTTGCAGGGCGCGGTACGGGCACAGCACAGGCACAGCGAGAGAGAAGCGGCGAGAGAGAGAGAAGAGAGAAGCAAGATAGAAGCGATGAGAGAAGCGGCGGTGCTCACCGCAGTCCCCACGCGTGGCCCCATCCTCCACGTTCATCTGCTCGGCGAGCTCCGACAGCGACTCGTCGATGGTGCGGCCGACGCGCAGCGTCACCGACAGCCGCCGCTTGAGCCGCTTCATGCGGTCCATCGCTCACGGACGCACGCGGCCGCACGACGCGCCGCTCACCTGCGAGCACACATACACAGATAAAAATCACCCACATTGCTTTCTACAGACTGCAAGAGGCAAGTGCTGTTCGCGCACACACACAAGATCACCCATATAAGCCTTTAACAGACCAAAGGGGAAAGTGCTGTTCGCACACAAAGACAAAGATCCCCGATATAGCCTTCAGCAGACTGTCGGGGCAAGTGCTGTGAGCACACATACACACAACAAGATCATCCATTTAAGCCTTTAACAGATCGTAGGGGGCTAGTGCTGTTAACCCGCACAGACAAAAATCACCCATGTAGCCTACATAGACAGCTGGGGCAAGATCTATTAAGGCCGACACAGCACACAATGGTGGGGGGGTGTGACCAGCACTATTCCCGGTCGCCTTTGTCGCCCCAGTGCTGATGTTTTACACACTGCACCAGGTTGAAGTAAGGGTGGCCCAGGGCTGGTTCAGATAACAGCTACCGGTGTTAGCCGTGGCAGGAAATCGAACTCTGGTTGGTCACCAGGTTCATGGAGCAGACCACTCACCACTTCTTACATCATTCCTTCTACACACACACAAATAATATCACCCGTGTAGCTTTCCACAGACTGTTGGGGTAAGTGCTGTTAGCAAGCACCTATGAAGGCCGGCACAGCACACGTAGGGGTGGGTGGCCAATACCACGCCTTTGTCTCCTGAGTGGCGATATTTACATATCGCACCAGGTACGCATTTGAGGCACACACAATATGTGGAAAGCAAGTGTCAAACTAAACTATTAAAACACATTTGTATTTTACCAGGTAAGGCCCAATGAGCTTTGTAGCTATTTTCAGAAGCGACCTGTCCACAAATGATAGCTCAACGAAGTGGCTTATCACATGGAGATTTATAGCAGCCAAATACTCTGAATGCGTGATGTTGATTCTAAATGTGGAGGGAAAAACCAGATAATCTGGAGAAAAATCCACGTGACCACAGGGAGAACATGCAAACTCCAAATATACAGGCGTCAAAGGTGGGATCGAACCCACGACCTCCTGGAAACCAGGCGAGGTAGTTAGCATCTCGCCACCGTGTTGCAGTTGTAATCAGGAAGAGAGAAGATTTGGGCATGTGTAGCGATGAAGGAGTTACCCATACAGGAGGGTGGTGTGGCTAGCATCGTGCCTGGGAATCATTGGCTCCGCAGTGGTGATGGTGTGGTGTGAAGTTTCAGAATGAGTAGACCTACATGGGGCCCCCCAAAAGAGGTTCAGATGCCACTGAACACAGGTCTCGGGGGTTCATAGCGCAGTGTATTAACCATTGTGCAACCACTCGCCCACAGAGACAAAGATCCTGTGTAGAGCCATCGTAGACTGTCGGGGCAAGTGTTGGAAGAGGAAACCTATTAAGGCCAGAACGGGCATACGATGGGGTCTTGTGCCCAGCAAACACACTCCATCACCCCTGGTCTCCCCAACGCTGATGTTTAAATGCAACACCTGGCACTCATTTAAGGTCGAGTCAACATAGCGGCGGAGCAAGACCAAGTCCGATAGCACTTCCACCAATGTTCCCCGTGGCTAGAAATCAAACTCAGGTAGCCGGATTTGTAGCGTAGCGCGCGAACGAATATGACGCGCCGTATTCCCACACATGTACAAACATAACACAACACACACTCTTTACTATTGTGTGTATGTTCAACTTCTTGCGCACCGTATGTAGCCAACCGTGATAATTAATCAGAGGTGCGGGGGAAGGACAACAAACGAAGCACAAAAAGCAATTCTAAATAAATTAGTTTTCTATATAAAAAACTGAATAACTCCAGTGGCTTCCTCATATCGTAAGGAAGAGCCTTCCAGACGGCTGTTAGACGTGCATCTGAAAGCGCGCGATGCAGTGACAGTCTATGTTCGATGGCTGATTAACTCTTTACTCAGTTGAGTGTTTTATGTAGGATATCGATACATCAATATATTTATTTGATCTTGATTTGAAGCTTTCGTGACTGCAGGAATCCATACACTTTGGTTATTTCGGTAAAGTCACGCTTGTGTTGCGCCCGAAACGTCGTGATTTATATTATTTTATACCTACGTGACTTTACCGAAAGAACCAAAGAGGATGGATTCATTTGAATTAACGATGTTCATTTCATCGAGATGACGGTGTTGATTGTGTTTAAAGTGGCATGAAAAGAAGAGTAACAAGCCACAGCGTGCCAGCAGCTATGCAACCAAAAGGATGGACCGTGTGGTAAACGACCGTCAGTTTAACACGTCGGCTTTCGCGATCAATATTACTCATAATAAAGGTTTTTTGGGTTAGATCGCGTAGTAACTATTTGACGTTTTGTTTACGTGACAAATCCCTTAGTAATTGGCTTAGTCGGGTGGTGAAGGGTTACGACACGTTTATACTTAACGCGATCTAACCAAAGAACCTTTATTATGAATGAACCGCTGTCGCCTGCGCTCCTTCAAAGGAGGAGGAGGAACAGCAAAACTACACGAACTCCGTCTTCAAGCCGTCTCGTCGTGGCCAGCAGGCAGACCTCCCACATTGGTATTCAGCCCTTGAACATGTTGCCATCATGCGCAAGAATGGAATAGAGTGGAGTAATTTAAAATCGATTCTTGCGCTCACGATACGGGCAAGGTATCCTGAAGTTGAACTCGCATGTGTTGATCGCAATTGGTTCGGGAGACCCCTGCAGCCAATAGCGGCTCTTCATTCGCCACAACAACAGAGGATTCAATGCTTCCTTACAAATCACAACCCCCGAATTGTGACAATTCATTAATTCATGGGGGGTGGTGGTGGTGAATCATTTCCACGAATAGTTTTCTGGAATTATGAATCATTATCAACCCAGAATATTCCTCACGGCAGGCCAGATATTGCCACTGCACGCTTCAAATGCCACAATACCGATTTTTTTTGTTTCACGCTCACGCAGCGTTTGGCTTGCAACCACTTTAATTCCGTTAACGGTGCCTTGACCCTTCAACCCGACCTACCCGGAGGAAAAAAAAGGAGTTTAGCTGCTGAATTTAGCAACGGCCCGCAATCTCATTCCACAGATTGAATCTCTAATTGGCAATTACAGCTGTAAGAGGCTTCCGAGCGTTTCTTACGCTGGGCTACCACCCTCCAGCGGTCACCGCAAGTGCACTTTATGTAAATGTAATTATTACAATTACGCGGCTGTCATTCATCCCTGCACCCTTCGTAGCGATTAACACTGCACTGTAAACCAACGAGTGCATTGGATCTATTTATTTTCTTTCGTATGGCTGCTGACATAGATGGCAGATCAACAACGACAATTTCACGTTCACGTGGCTAAGCCAGATAACCGCGTCAGGAGCAGCTGAGTTGTATCGCTGCGATGTCTCCTTCGTATTTGTGGATCGGAGCATTGCGTCGGTACACGTTGTACGGTCTGTTCTGGATGACCACAGTTGCACAATACTACTGGAGAATTTTCAATTTTCCATTTGTGCATCAGGTATCCGCACCTGTCATGGTTTTTTGCAGTGGACGCGGTTTAGGGTGGACCATGAGCTTCCTGGAAGATCAAACCCAGGGCTCCTGTCGTGTTGTGTCTTTCACAACTAGGTGTTTGTTTGCGAGCTCTTTTAGAACTCCATTCAGCTCTCCAGGCTTCTCATTCAGGTTCCGCGTATTGGTCCAAAAGGGCTTGCGTGACTTCAAGCGACGGGAAGCCGCTACAGTGCTGCCGTAATTGCAGAGGTCGCAACCGGGTACCCGATACCCATACCCTACCCGATACCCAGTTACCCGTACTCGGCCGGGTACAGGTACGGGTACCCGTTTGCGATCCTGGTGCGGCCGGGTACGGGTAGGCCGTGAGTCACTGGTGAGTAACCGTTTGTCACTAATTTTCCAACATCTTGTCTCTTCTCACAATTCAAGTTCCTAGAATCAACCCACCCGCGCCTGCAACATGGCTTCATCCCAGAGGTCACAATCAGGTACCCAATACCCTTACCCTACCCGTACCCGGCCGGGTAGGGTACGGGTACAGGTACCCGTTTGCGACCCTAGTGCGGCCGGGTACGGGTACGGATAAGGAATCAAAACCCGTTTGCGACCTCTGCGTAATGGTGAGCACCCCGGACGTGCAATCCAGAGGTCGCCGGTGCAATCTCCCCCCCCCCGCCTACCGCTCAGCGGTTGACAGGGACGGGGAAAGGGGGGTTATTGAAATCGCCTATTCAGGGATGAAGGCCAATTCATTGCATCGCCAGCAGGGTGAGACATTTCAATTCAAGCAGGAGTGACGCTTCTGCAATATTCGCTTACGTCCAAGCTCTCTCCGAATGAGTGAGGCGCATTGCACGAATCATTTTAGGTTATTTTCGGTGAACTACCCCGTGTCAAGAACTCTGCATCATGGCGAGCGACAATCATTGCAGACCCCTTAAGCAAAACAAATCACAGACTAAATATGTGGAGTTGAACAAAGGAGAGGGCAATTTTGGGTTTTTTTTTGACACAAGTAACTTTCCAACTCATTACCAATGTTAGGACACCAGCTACTCTAGCTCAGCAAGTCTTGTTTTACTGGCACCTTTCTCAGTTTATACCCTCATTGTTCTATCCATGCCAACCCAAGATGAATAGAATAGCGAGTTTTTTGTCTCTCTGCACGCGATGGTCCTTCTGCTGCTGCTGTATTAACCACACGCGCTTTATTTTCTTGTTTTGCTAACCAATGCTAAGTCCACTAGGGCTGAACTGGTCAAAAAATGGAGTTCAACATTTGATTTAATACATTTCTTCCACAGTTGTAGCTATACAGTGATCCCTCGTTTATCGCGGTTAATGGGGACCGGAACCCCTCGCGATAGGTGAGAATCCGCGAAGTAGGATTGGCCCCCTAGGAATTTCCGTATGTGTGTGTGTGGGTACCAGAATGTTTAAAATATCTATATTTATACATTATATATATATTTTACTTAAATCTATTTAATTATAAAACCTTAATATTATACATTCACTG